CCAAGTAAGGTTGTATCATTTGCATAGCGCAGGTTTTTAACGAGTCTTCCTCCAATTCTGATGCCATGTTTTTCTTCATATAACCCAGTTTCTCAGATTATTTGCTCAGCATACAGGTTGAATAAGTATGTTGAAAGAATACAACCCTGTTGCACACCTTTCTTAATTTGAAACCATTCAGTGTTTCCACGTTCTGTTTGAACAACTGCCTTTTGGTCCATGTACAGATTCCTCATGAGCACAATTAAGTGTTCAGGAATACTCATACAATGTTGTCCATAGCTTGTCATGATCCACACAATCGAAAGCCTTTGTGTCGTAAATAAAGCACAGGTAAACATCTTTCTGGTATTCTTTGCTTTCACCCAAAATCCATCGGACATCAGTAATGATATCCCTCATTCCACGTCCTCTTCTGAATCCAGCTTGAACCTCTGGAAGTTCGGTGCTAACATAAGCTTGCAACCATTTCTATATTACCTTTAGTAAGTCTTTACTCGCATGGGATATCAAAGAGATTGTCCGATGATTTCCGCATTCCATTGGGTCCTCTTTGGAATGGGCACAAATATGGATCTCTTCCAGTCAGTTGGACAGATAATTATCTTCCAAATTTCTTGTTATAGATGAGTGAGTGCCTCCAGTGCTGCCTCACTTTCCTGAAAGATTTCAATTTGTATTCCATCAACTCCTGGAGACTTGGTCTTTGCCAATTCCTTTAATGCACCTTGGACTTCTTCCTTCAGTATCATTAGCTCTTGACCATATGCTACCTCTTGAAACAGTTGAACATCAACCATTTCCTTTTGGTATAGTGACTCTAAGTATTCTTCCATCTTGTTTTGATGTTTTCTGCATCATTCAATAATTTTCCCAGAGAATCCTTCAATAATGAAAGTCGAGGCTTGAATTTTTTTGTCAGTTCCCCCAGCTTGAGAAATGCTGAGCACGTTCTTAATGTTTTGGTTTTCTGACTCCAGATTTTTGCACATTTTGTTGTAATAATTGACTTTGTCTTCTTGAGCTGACCTTTGAAATTTTTTGTTCAGCTCTTGTACCTCCTCATTTCTTCCTTTTGCTTTAGCATCTCTACTCTGGAAAGCAAGTTTCAGTGTCTCTTCTGACATCCATTTTTATCTTTTCCTTCTTTCTTTTCCTCTTTGCTTTCTTCATGTATGATGTTCTTGATGTCACCATGCAACTCTTCTGGTCTTCAGTTTTTAGTGTTTAATGTACCAAATCTGTTCTTCAGATGATCTCTAAATTCAGATAGGATATATTTACAGTCATATTTTGACTGTCATGGACTTGTTTTCATTTTCTTCAGCTTCAGTTTGAATGTGCATATGAGCAATTGATAGTCTGTCCCACAGTATACCCCTTGCCTTGTTTTGGCTGAACATATGGAGCTTTTCCATCATCTCTTTCCGCAGATGTAGTTAATTTGATTTCTGTGCATTTCATCTGGTAAGGTCCATGTGTATAGTATGCTCTCATGCTGTCTAAGCCGTTTGAACTGCGAGAACAGCAGTTTAAGCTCACCAGTCACTCCTTGGAAACCCTATACAGCATCGCTATGGGTCGGAATTGACTTGACAGAACTTAACAACAACAAATGCTATCTAAAGAAGGTATCTGAAATGAACAAATCACTGATTTTGCAGAATTCTGTCATGCGATCCCCATAATCACTTTTATTACCAATGCCATATTTTCCAACTACTGATCCTTCCTCTTTGTTCCCAACCTTTGCGTTCCAATCACCAGTCATGATCAGTACATCTTGATTGCATATATGATCAATTTCAGATTGAAGAGGTTGGTAGAATTCTTCTATTTCATCCTCAATGGCTTTAGTGGTTTGTGCATAAATTTGAATAATAGTGGTATTAACTGGGCTTCCCTGTAGGTGCATGAATATTATTATAAATGCCTAGAATGTTGATATTTATACATTCTATTTCATTTCTGAAAACATCCAATTTTCCTAGATTAATACTTCATAAATTCCACATTCTTATTATTAATGGATATTTGCAGCCGTTTCTTTTCATTTTGAGTTGTGCCACATCAGTAAATGAAAGTTCTGGAAGTTTAAATCCAGTTATGTCATTAATGTTAATTCTACTTTGAGGAGGCAGCTATTATTCCCCAGTTGAATTTGAGAGTCTCATCTTTTGGCACTCTATCTGACAATGTACCACTGCTATTCTTAAGGTTTTCAGTGACTAATCATTTAGAACTAGTCTATCTTAGTCTGGAAGCTCCACTGAAACCTCACTATGAGTAACCCTGCTAGTATTTAAAATACCAGAGGCATAGCTTCCAGCATCACAGCAACATACAAGTCACCTTAGTAAACTGATAGACAAGTGACTGATAAGAAAATAGTAAGATGTAAATTATTCCTACCAGAAACAAATAAAATCCACTGACTCACAGTGATCCTACAGGACAGACAGCAGGACATCCAAACAAGACTTCTCTGGCTGTAAATCTTTACAGAAGTAGAATGCCACATCTTTCTTTAGTGGAGCAACTGGTGGGTTTGAACCACTGAACTTTTTGGTTAGCATTCATTTTAACCACTGCACCTCTTGTTGCTGTTAAGTGTTATTGAATCAGTTCCAACTCAAAGAGACCCTGTATACGGTTTCCAAGGTAAGGGTGGTGGTTTTGAACCAACGAACACTGGCAGTTAGCATTCCACTGCTTATCCTATAGCACACCACCAGGACTCCACTGTATTTGTTAAGTGCCGTTGAATAGGTTCTGGCTCATAGTGACCCTGTATCATGTTTCCAAAGAGAGGCTGGTGGGTTTGAGCTACAGATCTTGTGGTTAGCAGCCCTGTGCTTATCCTACAGTGCCACACCAGGACTCCACTAAGGCTCCTTAAATCCTAGGTCTTTTCAAATATTGGGAATCATCAAATGTCATTATTACTCACCTCACGATCCTGACATTGCATAGAGCATGTAGTATTAATGGAAGTGAAAACTAGTTCTTGAGGGAAAAACACATCTTACTCTTTTGTGCATAAAGCACAAATAAGAGGGAGCCTCAGACAGTTTGTGGAAAATGGAATTAAAATGGAATTTTTCCATGAGATTTTTGAATCTCCCTCATGTACATGCAGATATTATATCTATGGTATTAAAGTTTCATGAAGGTAGGCAATTAGGAAAAAATGTCCTAAAAGAATGATTATAATCCTAAGAAGGATTATATTTAAAGCAACAACAACCCTAGTATATAGTTATAAACATATAGCCCATTATTATTATTTTTTTTCAGTTTGAACAAAAGACGAAGTAACAAAATTCTTCTGATTCACTGAAAGAACAGAAGAAAGTTAGACAAAGTTCTAGGTGAGTTTGAAGAAACTGAACTTGAAGGCTAGAACAAGTGCCAGGTCATTTTGTCCAGGTCTTTCATTTCCTAAGAATCCCTGGGTGGTACAAACAGTTAACACAAAACTTGATTTCTAACTGAGCAGATGCATGTTTGAGTCCACCCAGAGGTGAAAGACCTAGTGATCTACTTCCAAAAGATCAGCTATTTAAAATCCTATAAAGCACACTTCTATTGTGATACAAGTGGTTATCACCAATTATTCAAAGCTGATTAGACAGCAATTGGCTTTCACATTTCACTCATTAGAAAACCATTTCACAGAGAAGTTAAGTGATGGTCTTGATCTCAGAACAAAAATCCAGGTCTCCAGCCTCGCACTCTGCTCTTGTCAAAATTCTCCTGTACTTTCCTTCATTTGTTAGAATGATTATTTTATTTTACATTCACACTCTTAGATGTTGTCTGTAAGAAATCCACTAGAAAGTCAGAAACTAGAGCAAATACAAAGCAAAGAACAAACGTTTCAACTAGTGGTAAAAAGAAAACCCTTTTGATCAAGGAAAAAGAAAAACTAAAGGTTTTAGGAGATTGATCTAGATCTAATGATAGCCTTGTAAACATACCAGATCAGGAGAGTTCTAGAGCCTTTAGGACATGGAGCCTCTATTCTGAGTGGACACAATTATAAGGGCTTCTTTCTTTAGTCTGCTCAATATTTTGCTGGTGCACATTATTACTGCCTCTGATTTAATACTGCTATCATTTTTAGAACCCCAAGAAAGAAATATACCTCTTAGATATGTAGGTTCTTCTTACTTCCTGACTCCATTTATAAGGAATTGACAAAGGGAAGTGTCAAATATAATATAGTCTGAAATCCTTCTTTTTGAGGGATGGTAAAAGAGTTGTTTGCTTAAAAAAGCAAATGATGGTAGTTAAGAAGGCACCATGCTATTACCTGTGTTACAAAAGTGTTATGTGACCTAATATGGCTTGGGAGACTCTAGAGCCTTTTCTCAGCAGTTCTTGGGTATAGCTGTGCTTGTTTTTGTGACTTTCTTAGTGCTCTATCTTTTTTCCTTCCTATTAACTTTGTCTCAGAAAGACAGAAATTGATAACCCTAGCTCTTACTGATTAACAAAGATTAATTGCTCCCTTCCATAGAGGTCAGTCATGGTGATGGATAAAAAGAATATGAGACATGCCCTACTTCCCCCTTGGTCTATTTTATCATAATCATAATGTGCACATAAATAGTCTTTACAATGTGAGGAGGCCATGAGCACACATGGCCACCTCCTGGTGTTGTTAAGTGCCACAGGGCCACCTCCTAGTACACATTAATGGCATTTCCTGCCAATATGTAATTGTACACTATTCATGGCTATTTATATTCAGTTTCAGATAAATCTTATACTATTTCACGAGACAGTTTTTAGTCACTTTTCTGATGATATGAGACTTCCTCAGGAACTGTAGCTGGCAATAAATAGAAACCCCAATAAATAATCTTTGAATAATGAACCTAACAGATTTAGAAACCTGCAACTAAGACAAGAAAACATTTGAGAACAAAAATGATTGTCTTAACATTAATCTTAAAATAAAGAGCATAAAGTCTTATCTCAGAGAAGATACAAACCTGGTTGCATAAAGAGAAGTCCCATCACTTCGCATTACAGTACAAATTGAGGAGGGGTCACCTTTCCCAGAGAGATCCACTACAGCCGTTCCTTTTCTAGAAATGCAAAAAGAGAGTAACTCTGAAACAACATATGACCTCTAAAAGTGTACCTACAGCAGTGTCTTTGGGAAATCATACAAGCTACTGTCATTCCCAAAGTAGCAATATCAATTCCGGTCACAACCAACAATGGGAAAAAATATAAAATATGACCATGAATCTATGACGAATGGGTCTGATGTAATATTTAGTTATCTTAATTTCTTTTTAATCTGTAGTTCTGGGTAAAGTACTTAGATAAAATCTTTATTATTCCAAGCTATAGAATGAGATTGCATCTTCAGTGAAGGTGAAAGATAACCATGAAACATCACAGATTCTTCTTCTAATTGAAGCTACTGTAGCATTCAATACTGAGCTAATTTTTAACAACCTTAATAAGTAAACCCATAGAATTTTGTTACTGTCTTTATAGACCTATAAAAAATTAAGACTGTATGTGACAATCTAAAAATTTTACTTCAAACAGTACCGAGGATGTTAATGACAGTCTTACATGTCTTCCTTATAAGGATTAAAGGAAAAAACTGTTCTTTGGTACTTTGAAAAGTGGTACTTCTCCTAGCAACTAGACTGCTCCTAAGCAACTGGATTGTCTGGATCCCGTGGCTGCTACTATTTCTCTGTCTGGATGACAGAAAGCTCACAGCTACATTAGTGACCTACATTTAGCAAGTAAACAGAATCCTAGAATGTATTTAAGATGTACTACCACCACCCCTGACTTTGCATTATTTTCCCCATCATCACTTTTTTGGATTCTTTTTCTCACATCTAAGTTCTAATTTCCTAATTTTTACATTTCAAAAGTCTGTGGTATAAACTGCCTTAAATCTTGAAACAGGATAAGATTTTTTAAAAAGGCAGGCTGGAGTCAGAAGTATGAGTTCCAGTTAGTTCTTTCTTCCTGTCAGGTGATGGGGTCTCGAGCAGATCACTTATATTTTCTCTGTGTTTCAGTTTCCTTACATGGAAAGAGCAGATAACATTGTTTCTTGCAACCTTACTGGGTTTTGCTTTAGCAGCAAAAGAGAGCATGTGAAAAAGTACTCTGGACAGCAAAGATCAATTTTTTAAATGCCATGCATCTCTGTATTTCACATCCTGTTGTCCAAGTATACTAATTTCAAAAAAGAATAAGCACTAGAGAATCGTAACTTGATCATACATAGTTTTCTGCAGAAGTCCTTTACTGTCCAGCAATTTTAAAACTTCTTGAGATTTTTCATGATAAAACGATTCTCCTGAGTATTCATCAAAGTGTACTCCGAGACGCTAAAGAGATTAAAAAACAAATGAAAAAAATGTTATTTATATCTTCTTTTATTTTACTTTAAAATCAAGAATTGTTGATAAGTGCCGTTGAGTCAGTTCCAACCCATAGCGACCCCGTATAGGGTTTCCGAGGAGCAGCTGGTAAGCTTGCACTGCCGACCTTGCAGTTCAAACGGCTTTGCAATCTGGCGCATTAACCCACAGTGCCACACCAGGACTCCCAAAAGGAAAGAAAAAGATCAAGAATAGGATGCCCATAATCTGTCATACAGATGGGAAAACAAGAATTTGATGGAAGGCATTCCTCTGCTGAGACCTTGTCATGGCTCCCACTGCCAAGTACTCATGGCAATACTGTGCTTTCCATAAGACTATGAAAACAAACTAACTCAATTCTGACTTCCTGTGTACTTACATGCAGCTAGATTAAACAGTGTCGACACAGAGCAGCATAGTGGCAAGGTTTTTGGATAGCCCTGGAGAAATGTCCTACCTTAGGTCCCACCTCACAACTTCTCTGACCCAATTCTGTGTCTTATACATCTAAGCTTCATTGTCTACTTCATTTTCCTCTACAGCACCTCTCATCATCTAAGACGATATGCATATGTTTCTTCTTTACAGTAATTTGTTCTCTGTCTCCTTGCTAGAATCTAAGGTCCATGAGAGCAAGGACTGTCACCAACCATCTCAATGTTTATTAAATAAATGAATTTATATCCATCATCTATAGGCCTAAGGGAGCAAAACAGGAAAAAAAGAAGAGTAAAGAAATGAGGAAAAAAAAGAAAGTCAAACTGAAAAGTATCAGAATTGTACCACTTTAGGATTATTTTATAGCTCTTTCAGCCAGAGGACATACAGTATGGGAGCTCTGATTTTCAACTAATGACAAATCTATTCTTAAAACATGAGCTTATGAAGCAACACTAGTATAAGTCAAGAGCTGTAGCACACAACAGGAAAGCAGAGGGGATAGCCCACCTTGTAAATCTGAATGTACTCCTCAATACTCAAGTCCCGAAATTTTCGCCACAGTGAAAGTGCTTGTACATCTCCCAGTTCCAATCGCTTGAAGAACTCATGTGCTGATTGTGCTACATTTTTATCATCTGCTGCTTCTTTATTAACTTGTACATACACCTATAAGTACAGTTAAACAGTAAATAGTACAAATTATTAGTTACTATTATCTTTCAAGGCAGAAGAGAAAAAAACAAAGCAGAATTCTGACAATGCTCATTTATAGGTTACTTTTTTTAAATGGCCTCATTAGAGTTTAAACACCCCCCCATCTAACAGACCCATGGTGAACAATGTGAAGCCTGTGGATGCTCATGCAAAATGTTTCTAAATGCATAGAATTACACAGGAAATCAACTACATTGAAATACAGTTATCCAACTATTCTGTTAATTATTTTGTGATAGTAATGAGGTAAATGCTGACTTTCAGAGAGACGTTAGTGAAAATAACGTGTAATTTTTCTTGTATCTAAGTTCACAAACCTTTAGGTTAAAAGTGCTGAAGGATGATTTAATGATTGTCTTAATAAAAAATTTTGAAACCATCTCTAAATCTGTGAAAGACCAGTAAAATTGGTAGTCTTGGTATACAGGAAGGAAGGCAATTGGGTTAGTTAGCTTAATTGCACTCCAACATGGGCATGAAAACTACATGGAGTACCCACTCTGGGAGTGTTTCCAGCACCATCTGTCTTGGCTGCTTTCGTTCTGCACTCCCCCAATGACAGGTGTAAAGTCAGAAAGCTTATTAAGGGATCTTCCAGCTTGAAGATTCTGTGTTCACAATGCAGTTAATTAATCATCTTCTAGTCTCCAAAATGCAGTGTTAATAAATGAAATTAAAATATCAGCATTACAGATCAAATGGTATTGAAGTTATGTATATGGGCTTCAAGGATTTTACTTAGAAGTTATAACTCACTTCCAGGTTGAAATATAATGATAAATTTACTATCTTTACAATGTTCCCAAAGGCTATTACCGTACCATAAAATAAAAATTGGCAAATACATTACCAAATCGAGACTAGGCCTCTAAAGTATTACAGTAATAATATATCACTGTAACATGGCAGCAGAATTTGTTTAGAAAAGTTTATTTCTGATGTTGGAGAATACGCTAGGACAAGAATATAGTGTGGCATACACCTACTTATTATTGTTACATGCCATTGAGTTGGTTCCAACTCATAGCAATCCTGTATAAAATTTCCAAGGAGCGGCTGGTGAGTTTGAACCACCGACATTGTGGTTAGCAGTCCAGTGCTTATCTTACAGTGCTAAACCAGATACTAACTACCCAATAGGCACTAACAATAAGAGGAAATTAACAGTCCATCTCAAAATGAAAGTGATTCACATTTAATACATGATTATGTTAATCACAGAAATGACAATCTTGAAGAATACTGTTAAACAAAGGTTAAAAAAACTTTCTAATGAGAAAAAAATGCTTTATACGATATTATTCCTAAAGAGTTAGTATAGCAAGTCCATGGGGTAACAGTGCCACAAAACTTACAGCTCAAAAGTTATTTCTTGCATAGTAGTGTTATTAAGAAGTAAAATTCTTACCAATGGTAAAAGAATTTCCCTGAAAAAGTAAAAATTTCTAACTGCATAAATATTCCTATATATCTAGAATCAATTTAGTCTTGAAGTATTTACTTAAGCTTGAGAAGCTGTTAAATAATACAAAAATCAGGAAAAAACTGACTTATTAGGAGCAGATAGTTCTTCAAGATTTTAAAAGTGGAGGAAGATGATATATATCATTCATCAAATTGGCACTTTGATCTAGCCCTATTTTTTCATGTTACTTTTTTTTTCTTAGTTATTGATATAGGGAAGCTTTGGGTCAAATCTGCGATATCCTAGTAATATATTAGCTTCTGACTATCTTTCATTAAATGCCCATCAATTACTGTAATTACCTCAAAGCCTTATTGAAAGGGGTAGGATTAATATAATAAAACTATGGGGGTCATTGTGAGCATAATATATTTATACTATTTAAGTTAATAGATAATGTTACCTTTATAAGTATAAATACATGGTTAATGGAGTCCTGGTGTAATGTAAGATAAGCACTGGGCTGCTAACCACAAGGTCAGCGTTTCAAACCCACCAGCTGTTCTCTGGAAATTTATACAGGTGTAAAGTCAGAAAGCTTATTAAGGGTCAGAATTGACATGATGGCATTTAACAACAACAATAGTGCTAATGCATTCTTCTGTTAGCATTATATTTATCTCTTATGAGAGACTACTCTGATATTCACAGAAATTACTACGGTTATCAAATCCACGTTAATAAACATCATGCCATAAGTAAAATTTTAGAAGTTTAATAACAACAACAAAAAAAGGCCAGGCCATATATCCAAAGATACTATGTTTGATGTTTTAGTAATTCATAATTAAGAGGAACCCTGAGATATTACTTATAAAAATGTTTTATTAAAAAAGATCAAACTAAGTGATGACATCCATATGCCCATTATTTAGATTTAACACTTAATATCTTATATTTTAACAATTTTGCTGAAGATTATTAAAAAATGACTGCCGTGATAAGATTGACAAGGAATTGTCAGATGTTCAAGCCTGATTCAGAAGAGGGTATCGTTGCTGATGTCTGATGAATATGGATTAAAAGCAGAGAATACTTAGTTGTGATTTATTGCTGAAGGCAATTGACTACGTGGATCATAACAAATTATGGATAATATTTAAAAAACGGGGAATTTTATAACATTTCATGGCACTGAAGTGAAATCTGTACATAGATGAATAGGCAGTTGTTGGAACAGAACAGGAGGATACAGCTTAGTTCAAAACTGGAAAAGGTGTGTCAGGGTTGTATCCATTCACCATGTGTATTCAATCTGTATACTGAACCAATAATCCAAGAAGAATGTTGTCATCAAGACCAGAAGAAGGCTCATAATAACCTGCAATATGCAGATGATACAACCTTGCTGAAAATGAAGATCACTTGAAGCACTTACTGATAAAGGCCAAATACTTCAACTTTCAGTATGGATTACACCTCAATTTACAGAAAATAAAAATTTTCACAACTTTACATAAACAAAATCATTACAAATTAAGATGAAATTGAACTTGTCAATAATTTCACTCTACTTGGATGAACAATTAAGTGTCCATGGAAACAGTAGTCAAGAAATTAAATGACATATTATACTGGACAAATATACTATGAAAGATCTCTTTAAAGTTTTAAATAGCAGAGATGTTAGTTTGTGACCCAAGCCACAGTATTTTTAATTGCCTCACATGAACAAAGAAGTTAGATAATGAAAAAGGAAAACAGAAGAACTGATGCATTTAAATTGTGCTGTTGGCAAAGAATATTGAAATATACTGTGGACATTGCCAAAAGAATGACTAAATTCTCCTGAAAAGAAATACATCAAAATGTTCTTTACAAGTTTGGGTGGTAAGACTTTGGCTTCCTTACTTTGGACATAACACCAGAAAAGACCAATCACTGGAAAAGGACAGTATAGTTCATACAGCAGAGGGCATGAGAAAACCCTCAATGAGATGGAATGACACAATAACCTCAGCAATGAATTCAAACATACAACAACCATAAAGATGGTACGAGACTGGGTGCCATCTCATTTTGTCATAATAAGGTCAAAGACCACTCAATGGCAACCAGCAACATTTCACCGTAAAAATTTCCAGTATAACTAAAAGTACCATTCTGATACTGGTTCAATAGTTAATTCAAAGGTAAAGGGGAATTATGAAAAAATTTGTTTTTCCTCAACTAGCTGTTATGTGGAAAGTGAAAAACAACTGTAAAGCATATGTAGCAGACTGGAAATGCAGAGAAATGACGGTGGGTGTTAGATATTTTTATTAAGAAAAAGAAATGATAAACTATCCCATGAGTTCTAACCTGGTTTATGAAAATTTAAAACTTGGGTTGCCACTGTGAGATACTAAGCACAAAATCTGCTGCTATATGCCCTAAGGCAAATTCAAAACATATATACCAGAGGGTTGAAACTGTCAAAACAGAACGACTAGTTGTATATTTGGCACAGCAATGAAGGGATGAAAAAACACACAACATTATGTAGGTAATTACAATAAATGGAAATGAATGGCTCCGAAAGGCACTTCGTCTTATTGGAGGAGCAGTACAGTGCACAGAGAGCTCTAGGACCAGGCTGCTAGTGTTTGAACTTGGATTCTTCATCAATAAAGTCAGTCAGAATCTGATATATACTAACTATTGTATCCTGTAATATAGAACCTTATTCTGGAGCTATACAACAGGTTTTATATTCTATAACTTAAAATAAAAAAATAGAGGAAAAGGGGAAAAGAAAACCACTGGATTAAACTCATTGCAACATCAACCATGTGTAAGGCAGCCCTGTGTTTTGGCCTGGGGGTAAAAGAACAGGAAGATATGGTCTTTGACCTCAATAAACATACTACAAACTATAATCCAACAAGGAAAAAAAAGAGGTTTGAACAGAGCCCAATAAACAGATTTTCACAAAAAAGAAATATAAAACAAAATTGCTCTAAAGTTTTTGTTCCCAATCAGCCAGTGCCATATTATTTGCAAGTACTTTAACACAAAACACAAACCAAACTTAGAGCCACAATCTCTTAACTTTCTAATCACCTATTGTGTTTACATATAAAACTGATGGGGATAACGTATATAATTACCTGTGCTATCTCATAAAAGGGACTGGGGAAGACCTGTCTCCTCAAAGTAGAGTTGACCATGATGAGGTGAATGGAGGAAAGCCCTAGGGAGTAAGGCCCTTGGGACCTTCATTTGCTGATGGGTCACAACTCAAGATGAAGAGAAACAGCTATAAACACCCATGAATAATTGGAACATGCAATGCATGAAGTATGAATCTAGGAAAATTGGAAAGTGTCAAAATGATAGTGAGCTGAAATGGACTGGTAATGGCCATTTTGATTCTGACAACCACATGGTTTACTATGCAGGGAATGACAAATTAAAGAGCAATGGTGGGAACAAACAAGATGGTGGATCGGGTGAGAACTATGAACCACATATAAATGAAAATTTAGAAGGTTGGAAGGCTCACAGC